TGCTGTACCGCTCTTGTGCTTTCTAACCTGTTGCGGCCATTCAGATTTTGTTCAATACTGGATCATTTTCTCGTCTATCCTCGTCCCAGTCAAATATTTCAGTAACACTTCATTTTTGTTATATATAACTAGTTATTAAAGTGACACGCAAACAAAGACTTAGAACCAGTGTACTAATCGAACGCGTTAGGATCACCGATTACAGATTATGAGACGAGGTAGTTGAGGGGGAAATGAAGTGAATCAGAACTTCAGTTGAAATCATAACTGTGTAACTATAACAAAATAGTAAACTGAATAACGAAAACCCGTAGGAAACAGCTTGATGGACCGGTAGAAGTAAAAAAAACCCGCAGTAAGCCATAACAAAATTTTAAGCCAAGCTATTGAAGCACAACAAAAGTGAGGTGTTAGTATCAGAAAGCAAAGTGAAATAACCGTTTAACCCAAATAACCGTAAGTTGGACCCGCTGTAATAAACACGTTAGAAACCCATGAGAATGAGCAAATGTAAATCCGTGAAAAGAACACAACAAATACATCGAAATCACTGAAACGAATGTAGGCGTGGCTGCGTACTTCAACTGAACGTCGTGGTGGCTATGCATTCAGAGAGATATTCCATTTTGACTCCAGTGTGGTCATGTCTCTGTCAACAAAAAACAAGATGGCGGTTGTCTCAAATTGAAATATTCTACGAGTAACCAGTTCTGTGCCATGTTCTTGTGCCACGCTCTACGCCGTCTCAGGGATAAGGAGTATATTTACAGCTCTAAACTAAATTCACTAAGAGACTCATCGGTTAAACTATCATCAGATGAGTTGTGAGGCGAGGACGACATATCCTCATCTTCAACAAAGTTGTTGTTAGCATCTAAAGCCTCCTTGAGCCGTGCGCTATCCTCCTCCCTTATCGCTTCCCTGCACCATCCTTCACAGAGCTGTCTCGTCACACTTTCCCAAAATTTCAACAGTCCTACCTCTGACCTAAAGAATGAAGCAATGCTGGTTGGAGTAACCCGGAAGCAAAAAATACTAGGAAAACTTTACTATTTCCAGCCTATCCGTGGGACGTCCTATCTTATTGAGGCGCTGTTTAAGATGACTCCAGCAAAGCTCCACAGGGTTGAAGAAGCAGTGGAATGGAGGGAGCCTCAGTAGGCTCACTCCCATTTCCTCGCAGATCTTTTCAGCGGCGTAACAGCGCAAGGCTGCTGCGCCGCCTCGACTAGCGACGAAGTGGTCGAGCTAAATACTGCTTGGAGAGAGCAGCTACGGCCGTTTGAGACGTACACCAACCTCTTCTAAAAGAGCTTCCTTTGTACTATCCAGTCCCACTCGACGCCGTGCGAGCTGAGATAATTCCATATTCCTGCACCCTGGAGCTTCTAGTCGGAACCTGATATCACTAAATTCAGGATTCGTAGCGCGTGCGCATATTCTATACCTACCTTCTCTAGCACTCTAGTATGATACGGAGCGTTGTCAAGTACTAGAGTAACGTTCCGACCCGCTGCGAACTCCTTCATGAAGGGGACTGCGGACCTTAGCCACTCCTCGAACACCGAATGATCCATCTTCTCGGTGTACTTCGTCCTGCGCAGTCCGTTGCCTACTGACGAAAACATGGGTGCAACCGGTATCACTCCTCCATCGCACAGTGCCGTTATAACAATGCCGCGCCTTCCCTTGTTCTTCCAGCAGTCTTGCCGCAAGAGTACTGCGTAGCTCTTCGGCGGTAGGGAAGCGCGACAACGTGTTGTCGATCCATCCTCTCCTCTTGACCATACCTTCGAAGACCCATGTTTCGTCCATGTAGACAACGCAGTCCCCTCTTTCTCGGGCCTCTTCCACCTTTCTCAAGTATAAGGATCGCTTGCGGGCAAGATCCGCGCGCTCGAAGATGTATCGTTGTCCCTTGAGAAGCTTATACGAGAACCCGAGGCCCTTCATCAGCCTCCACAGAGTCATCTGTGACAGCGCGAAATTCGGATAGGCTGCAGTCATTTGCTGGTGCAGTTCCGCGAGTGTTACATCCTTCTCTTCCTTCAGCAGTTCGTGAACCAGACGCTTTATTCGCTCACCCCATAGCGTACCGTGGTTATTTATGGCGGCCATGACCGTTGCTTTCCTGGAACGACTTTTGGAAGCCGATCGACGGATCGCACGGCCGACCGGTGTGTTACTAACCCGTTCGACAGCTTTGTCGGACACACCGCACGCCGTGGCAGTTATC